CATATAAATGTTGATTTATGAGAACCCTGGGATGCCCTTCCCTCCACAAGGCAATCTCCAAAACTAACAAACAAATAAAATTTGGGATTCCACTGATTCAAAACCTCAAATAAGGTTTGAACCATCACCAGAATTCAGTGCACAGTAGTAACCAATTAGGAGATTGTTGAAGTTATTAGGCAGGGTACAACAAAATGAAACATGACACTCATAATGGACAAGTATGATCACCTCACAAAGCCTCTGCAGGGTAAAAGGAGGACCTTCTATAAAGCTGAGAAGAGCTGCAGAGGAGAATAAACATTCTGTGAATGCTTTCAACAATATCTTACCAAAATTTCAGATTAGGAGAACAAATACATACATAGCTAGAAAATATCACTAATATACACAATCACAAATATCCAAAATATCCATCAGTATTATGGAGTTATGCCCAACACCCTTCCAGCCTTTATAATGGTTTACTATGCATGAATTCAACAGAGATATGGCTCTTAACAGAGTTGACAGAAATAGAAAGTTACAAGTAACTAGCCATAAGGAGCAGGTTTTGAGACCTTTTGAGATCAGTGAAGAGTATGGTTACAAGCATTCAGGGAACCAATACAAAGAAGTTATATTTTGATTTTCTCCTTTTTTTCATTTTTTATTTTTTATTTTTGAAGAAAAAAAAATGAAATAATATTTATGACTCATACAATATATAATCTTGAAGTATACAAACAAAAGAAAGAACTTGCAAATCCATGACATGCGAAGCTACATATGATTTTCTAACTTTGTACTAGCCTATGATCTTTTCCTCACGTCATTTAAGTTTGTTGGTAAAGCAGAAACACATGCGTATCAGATTAGGAAAATACAATTTAAGCATTGCACTGCTAATTGGAAACACATGGCCATTATAGGGCTAAGGGCCAAGCATTATCAATGGAGAAGGATTCTACTCGAGCAAAGAGTCAAAACAACTCAACCATGCATGGATCAAGCATGGTTAAAGAACACCCAAGGACTTCATGAGCTCACTTTAAAGAACATCCAAAGGGAATAGGCAAAAAAAAAATTCCAAGCCACTTGCCAAGTGAAATCCTGAAGTAAAGTTCTATTAAAAGAAGGAATCATATAAACCCCAAAAGGTGTAGGGATTAATGGTGTTTTGCACACCCCCAATCCAAAAAACAAAGGGGGGGGGAGTTTCCATGAAGATCTGGTTCTTCATTTTGATCACTCTGGCTTAAGCCTGTCTGCTTAAATTAAAAATTACTTCCCCCCTCTAGCTAAAACTGTGGGCAAGGGGATGGGGAACCCAAAACAACAAAACAAAAACAATATGCACAAACACCAATAAATAAATAAAATTTCAAAGAACAGAAATTAGCCCATTAGAAAGATCAAATATTAGCTGCAGATGCCACAATTTTGCTTTTTCTTCAAATCGCCATAATTTTCATTACCACCATGGCATCACCAAAGACTTTGCTTCATACAATCGTATTGAAATTAGTCTCGAGCGACGCCACAAAACATCACAATCAGACAGATATAACACTAATAAGGAGACAAATTAAAGATTTTATATGTATACGTGAAATTTACGTCAGAAGTGAACATCGAGTAACAGAATGTGGTGACAAAGACCTGAACAGAATGATATTAATAAGGAAATCTAGAATAAAGGGTCTTCTTTTCTTTAGGTTGGGGGTTGAGGGTGTTGGGTGAATATCTTACATTCACTTGTGTCTACATGTGTAATCAGAATATTGATAGAAGCCCCAGAAACAAAGTTTATGCATCAACTCCATGCTTTGGTCCACAAACACCAGAACATTTCATGCAAAATGAAATAATACAACTTATGGATGTAATTTTATACTAAGGTACAAACTTACCAAAATTTCCCAGTTGAAGCAATAACTTCAAGTATAGTTCTGGCTTCTTCTTCGCCAATCTCATGCTTGTATTCCATTCCTCTGGAATTTTATGTATAATAAGGCTTTAGTAAATCAAATATAGTATGAAGACCCTCATAAAAACTTGCACATAAAGCTTTCAAAAAGTTGTTAGGTATTTGAATTGAAGACATATAATCAACTCTTTGCTCCACACAAACCCACTGGAAGGGTAGGAGAAGAAAGAAACAAAGAAGAAGAATAAGAAGAAGAAAGGGGGTGGATGAAGAGAAGAAAAAAAAAAAAAAGTATTGCATTTGCATTTCCTCCTACATTACCATTAAAAAACAAAATAAGAAAATAAAGATTCAGTGATTTCTATAAAGTTCCATTGTTCCTCAATGTGCAAAAATAGATTGAAGAAAGAGGGAGACCTTTCGAACGTAACCGTACTCGCTCTCCTTCTCTGAATCTTCGAAAGTTGTCAATCGAGCTCTGTATACGGACGACATTTTGTGAGACGGATCAGAGGAGAAACCGAAATAAAAAATCTAACGCTGCACATACACATCAGGTTTCTGAGCAGCTCCTTCGCCACTGGAATGAGAGCAGCAGAGGGAAAGCCAACGGAGAGACGGCGTCAGGGGCAGTGTACGGAATATTCTGTTGGTACACGGAATATTCCCTGAACTTCTGAAAATTGCAATTTGGCCCAACATTTTCAGAAAATTGTGGTGTGGCCCAACTTTCGGGGATAGTTTTTCAGTGAGGTCCCTGGAAGTGCAGCGAAGGTTGGTTCTAGCTAAACGGACCGCTCCGGACGCAACCGCGAGGTCAGAATAGTGAAATTCTGAACGGTTTGGAAAGATTGTCAAAACATGGGTGTTTGCCATCTTCAATACTCGAAGGAAGGTTGCTGGATATTGTGGAACGCTGCGGATTCACTGAAGAGGTTAGAATGGGCAGATTCTGACCAGATTGGACAACCAGATACAGATTGAGATAGATCATTGAAGACCAGAGGAGATCAGGCTTGATCAAATGGCAAATCAAGGGAGATCAGGATTGGTCAGGGGTGATCAGAGGATTGCAGAAATGATTATCTCCAGAGTTCGTTGGAGGATCTAGTTCAATCAAAAGAGAAGACCATGCATCGACGGATAGATGATTTGGCAACCAGTACAGGCTCAGGGAAATACTATGGCTGTTGGAGCTACTGTATACGAGTAGGTACTAATGGTATGTAGACATGTAGAACAATAGTTGCAGAGGAGCATACTAAGCGCAGAAGTACAATTGCAGACGTGCAACAGTGCAAGGGTACGCTAGAGTGTCGTACAGAGGCGCGATAAGAGTGTGCAGCAGCGGGTTGTTGACAATTCACAGGAACTTCTAGACAGAGAAATTGAGACAGGTAAAACGCAAGAGTGCGTGCCAAGGAGTGGCAAGTCTTATTTCTCTATGGTGGTTTCTTTAGTTCCATGGCAGCAGATGATAGAGTTGATGCAGATCTCTCAAGCAAGCTTGACGCAGGGAGACCAGAAGCCATGGGTGCGAGCACTATGCACGGAGTTGCATAGTGGTAACTTGTACAGACCGTGGAAGTTGTCTTGGCAGAAGGGCTAACTGTCAAACATCAGTACGGACAAGTGAGACAGAACCGAACATCAGGGATTGCAGCACAGACAACAAGCGTATGTGGAAACGCCAGGAGGTTGTTCAGAAGTGCAGAGGGCAAAAGCTGAAAGTTCAGAAATAAGCTCCGAGCAAGGAAAATTGAGGATGTTGATATGTCAAACTTTGAAGTTTTCTAGTTGCTCCAGTGTTCATCATGCAAGGAGTTGCACGGTGATGCAAGGGTATCCCGAGCAGGGGGGTGCAGGACATCCAATCAGGGGGTGTCGGATATCTTGGTTGCGCAAGTTCAAGCATAGCAGGTATAGACATCCGAGACAGAAGCGTGGAAGAGATCTGTAGGAGATAGGAGCAAAGGCTCTCTCCAAATCAGAGAGTGGTGTGAGTTGAGTTGAGGATGTAGGATTCCCTCCTCCTCTTATATCTTTGGTGTATTATCTCTAGCTTCAGGGGGTGCAAGCATCTCAGTGAGGAGATGCAGACTATGCTGAAGACATCCGAGACAGGAAGTGTGGAAGAGATCTGTAGGAGATAGGAGCAGCGGTTCTCTCCAAATCAGATAGTGGTGTGAGTTGAGTTGAGGATGTAGGATTCCCTCCTCCTCTTGTATCTCTGGTGTATTATCTCTAGCTTTCAAGGGATGCAGCGTCTTAGCGAGGAAATGCAAACTGTGTTGAATTTGGGCGTGACAAGATTGGCAGCAGGTTTTGTTGTGAATCACCTCACATGGGCTGAGGGAGTGATTTGTGGGATATCATCCCATGTGAGGGGTGATTCCCTTCACATGTGAGTGCACAAGCTTGCCAACCTACAAATGCACAAAGGTGATTCTCCATGTGAAGAAGGAGTTGGCAATGTGCAAAGCCAACACACACATGAGCTGCCATGTTAGCCAACCTTTGGCCATGTGAAGCCAACACACAAGAGAGTTGGCACAAGCTGGCCATGTGCTGGCCAGCCCCTCTCCATCCCTATTCTGTTAGTGTATAAATGGAGGTTGAGGGGAGAGTTGAATTGAGAGAGAGAGAGAGAGCAGAGCAAGCCACAGAGAGTGAAATATGTGAAGCGGAGAGACCGTCTCCCTCGGTGTGAGCGAGGGAGATGGGTGAGTGTGTGAGTGAGGAGAGTGTGAGCTCCTCCTCTATTATAATCTTTCTGTAATATTTCCATTGTTATAGTGATAACCGGCTACTCTCCCGTGGACGTAGGCATTGAGGCCGAACCACGTTAAATATTGTGTCTCCTTGAGTGTGGGTGTATTTTTCTGCATGGAATAATTTCTACAAGGTCTTGGGCGGGATCCCAGATCCCAACAATGTTTTAGATACAAAATGAATAAAAATTATTTTGTATTTGTAGTTGCAATGACATGGACATATGTGTCGTGTTTGTCTATTCTCTATTTGTTTTATTCTGTACACCTAGACTTTCTCAAAAAAAAAAAAAAATTTGTAATCATAATTCAGTTTCTGTTTGAATGCTGCAAGTAGATGTAACTTTTACCAGCTGTGCAGTGTACATATATGACTATTGACTCTGCAAGATTATTTTAATAATTTTTTGATTTTTTATGAAAATATGTAAAAATAAATAGAATGATCTAATAACGAGGTTTTAATTATTTAATTGGCTGTATATGCAACATAATAAAACTTTTTACGCACGCAGACAAGTGGTGAGGACCCCTATGTTGAGTTTCAAACTCGATGGCTTTGATTGGGTCATTCATTCATCAATAATATTAGGTATCATGAAAAAAAAGGATGTGGATGCCCAAAATATTCAAAATCAATCTCTCTGTCCCTCTGTTTGTGTGTTTGGATGTTTGTTTGTCTGAGTAAATCTTGGATGTTGTTGTGGAATGTGATAGGAAGGGCTATAGCTTAAATACAAGACTTAAATGGATAAGAATTGAGCAGAGTTCAATCTTTAATAATTTATTTTTGGACTGAATTATTAAAGTGCATGATGGAAGAACTTATTTGAATGTCGCAAGTCTGTAGGGTGGGTTGGTTTGACAAAGAGTTTCTGGTTTTCAAAAACTTTAAAGTTGTGAAATTAATTGTGAAGTCAACATTTTGTTAAATCACATGTGCATTCCCCTTTGCTCACATGATTGAAGTGGTTTCTATTTTTAGGATACTATCATAAAATATCATTGTAGGAAAGATCAACAATACAAAATGAACGTATAGAATGTTTTAGATACAAAATGCATAGATGTGAGATAAAAATTATTTGTATTTGTAATTGCAATGATATGGACATATGTGTGGTGTTTGTGTATTCTCTATTTGTTTTATTCTGTACACCTAGACTTTCTCAAAAAAAAAAAAAATTTGTTATCATAATTCAGTTTCTGTTTGAATGCTGCAAGTAGATTTACCAGCTGTGCAGTGTACATATATAACTATTGACTCTACAAGATTATTTTAATAATTTTTTGATTTTTTATGAAAATATGTAAAAAAAAATAAATAAATAGAATGATCTAATAACTTGTAATAATTTTTAAATTTTTTGACTAAAAAATATAATTTACCAACGAGGTTTTAATTATTTAATTGGTTGTATATGCAACATAATAAAACTTTTTACGCACGCAGACAAGTGGTGAGGACCCCTATGTTGAGTTTCAAACCCGATGGCTTTGATTGGGTCATTCATTCATCAACAATATTAGATATCATGAAAAAATTTTCATTAAAATAATCATGAAAATTTTATAACCCTTGAATTACACTTAGAATAAAACACTACACACTAATCAAGATAATCTAAGGATCATAAATCTTTCATGATCATTTTCATGAAATTTTTTTTATAATTCCTAACTTTCCTCTTCATTCATATATGGATAATATTGTATTTTGGTTCTAAACCTGACGTGTATTATCCTTCATTATAAGATGTTTCAAATTTGTTATTATTATTTTTTTTCTTTGCACATTAATTAAATATAAAAAAATGATCGAGACCCTTGAAAAAAATATCTCTTAATTTATCCTTCACTTTTTAATTTTTAATCTTTTTAAATATTAATTTGATGCACCAATCAAGTTGAACAACCACCCATGCTTTTTTTATTTTGAAATCAACAACCGCCCATGTGAAATGACCCAATCTTCAATTTGCCTTTTAACAATAGATATATAAATAAAAATCATTACTTCGAGGAAAATTAATAAAATATTTCTCTTTAATTTTAGATAGCAAGAGAGGTCTAAAATGTCTTTTTCTACTTGTTAAGGTCTTTCAATAATATTATTAAAAAAAAATTTCTATGAAAATATTGAAAGACTCCAATTATTATAAAAATGTTACGTATCTTTTATCTTATAAAATTCATAATGTTAAATTAAAATCCTTCCTTTTTATATTATTTATATGCACCAAGTTGATAATTTTTTTTTTGAGAACTCAATTTGCTATGTGAAAATTTCGCTACCAAAAATTCTAACAATAAAATAATGGTAAATTTCACCATTTTTTAAAAAAATTTAAAGAAAATATATTGAATATGTCTGTTATAATGAAATATATATTTGATTTAATTTATCATTACATTCTCATACTATTTGCATTAGTTTATGTTACTTTAATCTAATTATATTAAACTTGTGAGACTTATTATGGTGCGAAAATATAAGAATAAATAAAAAAATGAAGAATTTCCAGTCAAGTCTTATTTTGACAAAAGCTTTTACTCACAAAACTTTAAATTCATGAGTTCTCTATTAATTTTATATGATCCATCTATCCTTATAAATTCAAAAACACAAAACACCCCTTGATTTATTTTTTTTTTAATATTTTCATTCCACTCTTTCTTTCTCTATCTTCACAAATTCCAGATTTCTTTACTATTTTTGTTCATATCTCTCTCACTTTACAAATTTCAGAGCAACAAAATTAGGAGATCATCTACTATCATCAAGCATGGATTCAATTGGAATATTCTTATATTTAAAAAATCGAAATGGTGAAAACAAGAGC